AAGGAGAAGGGAGGAAAAGGAGATGGGCTAGCCGTGGGTAAAGGTGCTTGCCACCAACCCCGATAACCTAGAGTTCAGTCCTCAGAACCCCGATAGTTGAAGGAGAGAACTAAGTTGTCCTTTGACCTCCATGCACATGCAAACACATAAATAATAACTGAAAATTTTAAAAGGAGAAGAGGAGGTAGACAAAAAGGAGAATAAGAGCAAGAGGAGGAGTAAGAGGAGGTGAGGGGAAGAAGGGGAAGTAGGGGGAGGAAGAAGTCCAGTAAGTTTTCCCAGCTAATGGTTTATTGGTTTTTGAAAGATTTTCTTTACTTTTCAGCCTGGCACGTGGTTTAATTTGGGAACCTACCATAATTACCTTTTGACAATATCTGTATGCAATGCCTAATTCTTTAATCAGAAGAAGTTGCATTAAGGAGGCTACTAACAGAAATGGGAGAATTACCTGCTATCTACTTCCTTCTTGAAGGAGAAAATCCATATACTTGTCTACTATTTCCCAAGACAAGGCCAATATCTTAAGAAAAAAAAGGAGACACACAAGAATACATCAAGCATCCATCTCTCCTGCTTGCTCTTGTCTTCTACTTAAGAGAAAGAATAAGCCGGGCGTGGTGGCGCACGCCTGTAATCCCAGCACTTAGGAGGCAGAGGCAGGTGAATCTCTGAGTTCAAGGCTGGCCTAAACTACATAGCGAGTTCCAGGCCAGCTGGAGCTACAAAGAGACCCTGTCTCAAAAAGATGAGAGAGAGAGAGAGAGAGAGAGAGAGAGAGAGAGAGAGAGAGAGAGAATAATCATCTTGGTCACTTGAGAAATGTTTGGCTGAGCAAGAACAGATTTTTTTTCCTGGTTGTACAAATACTAAATACTAAAACATACACTAGAGCCCATAAGAGAGTTGTGAAGTGAAAACTTTACATGAGCCTCAACAACTAGCACAGATATCCTGCCACTAGTGCACAGACTGAGGGACCCAGAACATCATAGACTCAAAGGATGTGAGAACCAGAAGGCATCAACACTCACTTTCACTGTATTTTCTTTAATTAGAAGAGGCTAGAGTGATGGCTCAGCAGCTAAGAGCACTGCTCTTCCAGAGGACCTGTATTCAGTTCCCAGCACCCATGTGGTGGCTAACAACTGTCTGTAACTCCAGTTCCAGGGGATCTGACACCCCTTTCTGTCTTCCACAGGCATTGTATGACACATATGCGCTTACATACATACATGCAGGCAAAACATTCATATACATAAAATAAAAATAAATAATTCAATACAGTTTTAAGTATGGGCTAGGGAGATGGCTCAGTGGATAAGAATGTTTGCTGTGCAAGCATGAGGACCTGAGTTCAAATTCCCAGCAACCATATAAAAAAGCCAGGTGTGGTTGCATTTATGCCTGTAAACCCAGTGCTGGGGGCCAGGTGTAGACAGAAGGATCATTAGGGCTTATTGGCTGCCAGTCTAGTTGCAGAGTCAGTGAGAGACCCTGTCTCAAGGGAATAAGGTGGATAACAATAGAGGAAGACATTCGACCTTCTCCCCTGGTCTCCACTTTTGTGCAGAGAAGCATGCACCTGCACACACATGCACCACACACAACACATAAACACATACAAACACATAAACACTTTTTCCTTACTTTCCCCTACCTTGCCCTCCCTTCCTTTCCCTTCTCTTCCAATTATTTTCTTGAGCTGTTGATGTATCTCAGTAACAGAACTCTTGCCTGGCATACATGAGGACGTATGTTAAACCACCCCCACAAGCAATTTAAAAATAATTATAGGAAAAGATTATTTTCTTAGTGGTTGCCCTTGGGCTACAAATACTTCTAACTTATACCAATCTAATCTGGAGTCATACCAATTTAATTGCAAAAGCAATCAAAAATGTTATGGATTCCCTCCTCCCTTTGAGCTGTTATTGCCATACAAACTATACCTATATCCAGATGATGTGACACTCTGCCAATGCCTGAATAAAGACAGCATGATTCTTAGCATTCATTTTAGCCAAGAGGGGGCCCAAACTGCTCTGAGAACCTATTCCTTCCTATTTCTCCAAGAACTGAGCTCTCAAACAAATGGCCTCCCTCTCTCTCTTCATTGAATCTGTACATCCAGCATGAAATTGGGAAAGAAAGCCAAGTGTGGTGGCACATGTCTTTAATCTCAGCACTTGGGAGGAAGGGGCAGGCAGATCTCTGTGAGATCAAGGTCAGCCTGGTCTACATGGTGAGTTCCAGGGAGACCCTGTCTCAAAAAAAGAAGAAAGAAAGAAAGAAAGAAAGAAAGAAAGAAAGAAAGAAAGAAAGAAAGAAAGAAAGGAAGGAAGGAAGGAAGGAAGGAAGGAAGGGAGGAAGGAAGGAAGGAAGGAAAAAGTGTGAGAATTTGTCTTATCAGAGAATTTCCCCTATCATGAAATTTTCCCTTTCTGACCTCTACTGACCTAGAACAGCACGCACAAGCACAAACTGAAGTTATCAATTTAACCTCACCTACTGACTGTACACAACAAGATAATTCTCATTACTTCCAACTAATATTTGCTGCTTTCAGCACTTGTATCACACACACACACACACACACACACACACACACACACATTCTGAGTCAAGGGCAAGGAAGGGTCAGGAGGAATTAAAACTATATGTTTAGGTTACAAGAGGAGCCCAAGACCTAGTGAATTTATTTACATTAGTGAATTTATTTACATTGCAAACAAGCTCAGATAGTGTCCCAGAAATCATTCCCACAATAGAATATTAGTTAACGCAAGTATAGTTATTACTTTATGCATATCTTTTTCATTTTTTGTTTGTTTGTTTGTTTTTGTCTTTTTGAGACAGAGATCTTGTAGCCCCAGCTGGCCTGGAACTCACTATGTAGACCAGGTTGGCCTTGAGCTCACAGAGGTCCACCTGAGTGCTGAGATTAAAGTTGTGCACCGCCACGCTGACTTGCAGTTTTCCTTTAATTTTTTTTATGCATATGAGTGTTCTGCTTACATGTATATGCACCCATGTATGCAATGCCTGCAGAGGCCAGAAGAGGGCATCAGATCCCCTGGAACTGGAGTTATGGACAGTTGTTAGCTGCCATGTGGGTACTGAGAACTGAACCTGAGTCCTCTGCAAAAGTGGCCAGTTTTTTTAACCACTGAGTCATCTTTCCATCCCATAGTTTTCTTTTAAATCTGGAGAAAAAGATGTACAAACAAAAACTACATTTAATTCCAGCACTTGGGAGGCAGAGGCAGGCGGATCTCTGTGAGTTCAAGGTCAGCCTGGTCTACATAGTGAGTTCCAGGCCAGCTGGGGATACAAGGAGACCCTGTCTCAAAAAGATCCCCCCCCCAAAAAAAACAAATAAGCAAAAAAACCCACTACATGTTGTTGTCTTTTATACCTGCTTAGGCAGTTCCCCCCACTGACTCTTTGTTTTCTTTGTGTGGATCCAAGTTTATCTGTTTTAGTTGAGACAGGGTCTCACTAAGACTTCCAAGCTGGCTGGACATGGTAGCACACACCTTTAATCCCAGCACTCAGGAGACAGAGGCAAGTGAATCTCCATGAGTTCAAGGCCAGCCTGGTCTGCATAGTGAGTTCCAGAAGCCCAAGCTGGCCTCAAGCTTGCTATGTAGCTCAGTCTATCCTCAGACTCATACTGTCCTGCTTCGGCCTTCTCAGTGTTATGGATTACAGGTGTATACCATATTTGGTTTTCTCTATATGAATTCAAGTTTCTGTCTAGAGTTTTATTTTTCTTTTTTAATGATTTGCTTATTTTTGTTTGTTCAAGTATTTTGATTGTTGGTATGTTTGCTGGTATTGTGTAGTGCCTATAAAGGCCAGAAGAGGACAGAAGAATGGCCATGTGGGTGCTGGAAGTCAAACCCATGTCCTCAGAAAGAACAGCAAGTGCTCTTCACCCTGAGCCACCTCTCCAGCCCCTCTTTTTTATTTTTAATTACATTTTATTTACTTATTGTGTGTGCACATGCATGCCATGGCACACATGTGGAGGTCAGAGGACAACTTGAGGGAGATGGTTACTTCCTTCAACCATGTAGGTTCTGGGGATCAAACTCAGGTCATCAGCCTTGACAACAAGCATTTCCTGATAAGCCATCTTGCTAGCTCTAGAGTTCTATCATTTCTGCCTAAAGAACTCCTCTTAGTGTTTTATACATTTGCTAACAACTAATTCTATGCATTTTTATCTGATAATGCCCTGATTTCACCTTTCTTTTTGGACAATAGTTTTTCTGGTAAAGAATTCTTGGTTGGCATTTTCTTTCAACATTGTCATCTAATGCCTTTGGCTTCTGAGATTTCTGATGGCAAATAAGATGTTAAATTTTTTGAGGATAATTTATATGTAATGATTTACTTTTCCCTTATTGGTTTTTTTTAAGATTTTTAAAAATTTATGTGTGGGGGTGATGGAAAGATAGCTCAATGGTTAAGAGCACTGACTGCTCTTGCAGAGGACCTGGGTTCAATTCCCAACACCCACATGGCGGCTACAAGCCATCCTTAACTCCAGTTCCAGGAGAATCTGAAG